ATATGATAAAAAAAATAAAAATATAACTATTTTCGTAGCAAAATTTGTTATGGATTTTTTTCGTAAATAATATTAAAGCAAATTAGCCGCATGTTATTTTTTATGGCAATTTGTGTTACATTTATTCAAAAATATATAAGCAAATAAAAAAATAAAAATATTCATATCAAATATTGTGGCAAAATATTGAAATCGAAGCACGTATCAAGAGTTTGAAGCATATTTCAAGAGAAGCATATATGCCAAAACTTTAAAAATCCGGAAGATTTACTTCCATGTGTATTTTTAGTAGTATTATTTAAATATATTTTTATTAAATATTGTATTGATGTTTACTATATGTATTTTAAAATATTAATTTTGTTAATTAATATATAATGTTTCATTAATGTTTTTTTATTCGTAATATTTATAATATTGAATTTTACAATTTCAATTTTACATCAAATTTTGTATTTCTGTACACATTAAAAATTAAAATATTTAATTTTAATTGTTTAAATATTAATTATTCATGACAATTTTTTTTTTCATATAAATCGTGGCAATTTTTGTGGAAAATTTTGGTAAATTAATTATTATTTAAATGTGGCAAAATATATATCAAACTTATTGTTGTGGCAATTAGTGTGCAAAATAAGTTTGTGGGAAATTATATTGCAAATTGTCATGACAATTTATATAGCAAAATTAGCTACACTGCTTATAGTCACTAAATACATTTTCATGGCTAATTTTATATCAAATTCATTAGCTACATATATTTTTTGAAATTCCCATAGCTAATTTCATAGAAATATGAATATTTTGTTGTAATGTTAGATATGTTAAAAAATATTCAGAAATTTGTACTGTTTCCTTACAAAGCAAAGCAGCATAGCAACTGTAGTAGGAAATACGAGTTTCCTATAAAAAATTATTCTTATTATTATTATTATTATTATTATTATTATTGAGCAGCGGTAGTAGTCGAATCATCAATAAAATGCCAGTACGTACCTGTTGAAGAACCACATGGAGTCAGCTTCCACCGCGACCCTGTCCTGGTTCTAGTGCCAGTTGTAGTATGCGTGTGTCCTGTTCTTTACAGCGAATGTCACATGTCCGAAGCTCGCCTCCCCGAACGCCGAATATTTCGGCTGTGGCTCTGTCATGCTGACATTAGACTAACCGCAATGAAGATATCCGCTTTTGGGTATCTCCACTACTTTTTGTTATCCACTACATAATTGTCGGACATAAGAACAAAAAATAATGTTGTCTGCAGAATAAATTTGTGTGCGCAAATAATCTCACAACGTTTACTTGCTCGATTTTTCAACTAAAATCCGAGTGTTGCTTTGTTTTATCCTCGTACGAATTTCGTGTAACCCGGGGCGTTAATAGGGTCGAAATATCGTATAAGCAAAGCGAATCTAAGTGACTCAAAGTATATCCAAAATCGTGTATACCTTGCGAAATACGATTTATTCATATGTTCATTCAATCTAGATTATTTCTCCAACAAAAAATATATATTATTACTGATTTTTTTAAAAAAACACGATGATTATATCAAGAAAGCACAATATTAATTATGAAATAGCACAACAATAAAATTTAAAAAACAGAATGATTACTTCAAAAGAACAAAATAAAATTTTCAAAATAAAACAATAAAAAAAAAAAAATGAGAGTATACGGCATCGGCTTTCGAATAAAAGATCCTATTAGTAAATCAAAATATATAATTAATTATCCAAACTAATATTTATTATAGCTAACCTTAATTAATAACAATAGCATAAGCAGAGGCAGATGCTACGCAGATGGTAAAACTCAGTTGAAGACTGAAAAGGATGAGGGCAGACATGCAGTAAAATCAATGAACTAACAAAGTGGGTTTGCGTGCATATGTTAATAAAATTTTGAAATTCTGATTGTTGTGATTTGGTGATATATGAATAAAAAAAAAAAAAAAAAAAAAAATAAACAAACAAACAGAAGAGCACAATAGTTATATAAGGGGAGCACAATTGTTATATTGCGAAAGCAAAATGATTATATCACAAAAGCAAAGTAAACTAACTTTAAAAAAATAAAATAAAAAAGAGATAAAAGTAGATAATATATTATAATTAAAAAAAACAAAAGAAAAAAGAAAAAAAAATAAAAAATTGATATGAAGAGCACATTTATTATATCACGAAAACACAATAGTTATATCAGAATAGTACAATATTAATTACAAAAAAACAAAATAAAGATAATTATTTATTGTGCTTTATACAATTCTCTTTCTATTCATCTTCTGTAATCATTTGGTTTATCTTCTCATGTATTTTTTATTCTTATTTCATTCACTTGTTTTAAATATATAATTACTTAATTTATTAATTTTTTAATTTAGTTAATTTTAATTTGTCTTCTATAATTTTAATATTCGAGTACTTATATTTATTTATTTAATCTATTAATTTTTACTTCTTGCCGAGAAGAACATAAAAACATACAATATTAGATTACTTATATTTATTTATTTAATCTATTAATTTCTACTGCTTCCTAAAGGAGAACATAAAAACATACAATAAATTAATTATAGGCATCTAAATCCGTAGAAAGAAGACAACGTTCCTAAGAGGAAAGGAATGTTGTAGGGAAAAAGTGGGTGCGGACGGACGGAGCACCAAAAAAACTCTATTTAAAATATTATAAAAAATTTTAGAATATAATAAAAATATAATTAAATGAATAAAAATATATTGAACCTTCTAGAACGATCTAGTAAATACTATATAAATCTTCAACTGTGGAATTAGGGTTATTGTATATTTTCAAGGCCGCGCTATGGTTCGTGTTCAGATTAGGGTTTACGATGTAACAAGGGCTTTTTCTGGTTCGGATTGGTTGATTTTGTAGTTTTTTTTGTTTTTTTTTTTTAATTTTCAGTTGATTTGCTTGTTTGATTTTCGTTTATTTGTTTTGTTGCTTCACTTGAAGATATGAGAGGCAAAATGAGATATTGGCACCACAATTTGGAACACAAGAATACTGAGAAGATCTGGCTGAGGATTGAGAATCAATTGTTGGGCCATGGATGGAACTTTGGTGAGATAGGTGTTGGTTTTGCTGATGATGAATTAAATAAAATTCTGAGGTAGATTTTGTAAAATTGATTAAATATTTAAAGCAAGTATCTTTACCGTGACGAACTATGATGCATCAATTAATCATGCAATACTGATTGGATCTTGTTCTTATCAAACTCTACCATCAATTATGAGTGAAGGGGAAGGACTTGGATCAAACCCGAAAAATCTTCAGCTCACTCTTGGCTACGAAATCTCGAAATCATCCAGCAGTGGTGCCGTTCGACAAAGATCTCCTTCGTCAGGTAGCTTTTGAATTGATGACTAAGAACAGATACTATTCCTAGATGACGAACAAAAATTTATAGTTTTCTCCTCTGCAGTTCGATTTCTTGGATGAACAAGGAACGCGGATCATAATCTACAATATTTGGGAAGACGAGGGATCGCCTGAATTGGATTTCGGCACAGTTGAACACATTTTATCGTCGGTACGCTGTCCAGCTATAAACGACGGCAGAGGAGTCGTCGGTACGCTGTCCATCCCTATTGTTGGGTCGAACACATTTTATCGTCGGTCATGTTAACATTGGTCGTCTTTCAGGTGTCATCGAAGCGAACTTTATCGAGCCGGCGCACGATAAACAGGGATTCGCGCGAACGACTGCCCGGTCTCGGCTCGAGTCGAGACTTATGTCCAACCAGAAAAACTACTGGTTTCTCACCTTGCTCAAAGTTCACTTTGATTCTGTTCAAACAGCCGGTTTTGATTTTTATGGTCGATTTACGCTTTCTGCAGGTCCCTAAATTGCCATCTCATCGGCTACGTTCAGCGGCACGGACCCGAGAAATGCGCTTCACCCGAGCCAGCTATCAAATGTCTTCATTCATTTGAGTGGACTGATCGCTGGATTTGGGGAGGAGACATCTTTCTTGTTCGGACCTGTGTTGACAGCGACAGACTTGGGAGGGCTAACAATTTTCATAAACCCTATAGGTTGACTCATCCAATTAAGAAAAAAAAAGGATAACATGCCAGGACGGATGAGCCTTTTTCTCGGACGGACCTCAAGTATTGCCTCGAGGAACCCAACGAAGCTGTTTGGATTGATGCACCGGAAGATTATTCTATTCTTGAAGGATCTTCTTTGCTAGTAGGTAACAAGTTGTAATTTTGTGGGATCATAGTAATTGTTTGTACTTAATTCAATATTGGAAAGGAGCGTACATTGTAAGTTCACTAGGGTTTTGATTTTTCGTGGTCGACCTACCGATTGTAAGTATTTTGTTCGTCCAAAGCACACCAATTACGCAAAGGGGACATTGATTTTCCGATTTATTGACACTTGCAAGTATGGATTTAAAATTGTTTCTAGCCTCAATATTTATATATATTCTCATGGGTAAAATGATTCATGCGCGCAAATGAGACATCCTAAATTTTGTATTCATTGGCTAAGTTAATTTGCTTGATTGGTAAGTAAGTTATGGATGGTTTTCGCAAGTGCTTTTGTGTGGATATGCATAGGAAGAACAGCTTCGGCTAAATGTGTTTTATATGTTTGAGAGTGTGGTTTGATCTACCAATAATACTCATTCCTATAATTCTGATAAAGTATAGAATTTTTAGAGCAACAATAAAATATTTTTATTTTTCTAAATGAATGTGTTAGATTTTGTAATAATTGGCAATTTGAATTCGGATAACGAATTCTTTTTCCAGAACCCTCATGGTGCAAGCGATTCCATTATGAATGATTGGCTGCATTAGATAGATTAGATAGTTTTCCCATTTGGTCGTTTCCTGCTCTTAAATAAATGTAACCCTTCGTGCGGGTTAACGTTTATTGTTTCCTTCAATACAATGCTCTAGCTAACATCAATATTGAATAGTAGTTTTACATTTATTATCTCTACGATGTTGGCGACTTAAACTAGAGTTCCACAGATATAGCAATAGTTCAATAGTCGGAAATAAGCATTTCCTTTAGATATTTTTAAAAAATATCCAGAAATTTGTACTGCTTTCTTACAAAGCAGCATAGCAACTACAGTCGGAAATACAATACCCTATAACAAATTACTATTATTATTATTGAGCAGTGGTAGCAGTAGAATCGTCGATAGAATGTCAGTACCTGTTGAAGAACCACATGGAGTTGGCTTCCACCACGACCCCATCGTGGTTCCGGTGCCAGCTGTAGTACGCGTGTGTCCTATTCTTTATAGCGAATGTCGCATGTCCAAAGCTCGCCTCCCGGAACGCCGAGTATTTCGGCTGTGCTCTGTCATGCTGACATTACATTACAATCATTTAAGCCTTCGTTAAATCAAATATTTATTTTTAGAAGAATCAAATCAAATATTTATTTTTTAATATATTAAAAAATTTTAAAATTTTCATTTGAAACATTACATTTTATGTGTGTGTTTCTTACTTGGTAGCGAGGCCTTCAAGATTTCCTCCATCACCAATGATTATATAAACAGGGGCCGATTGGTCTCTCACCGGTGTACAAATTCCATTCACAACATTATACGCAATGTTAGATACGCGTTCCTGAAATATATATCATTTCATAGAGAATAAACATGGTGCAAAAGTATACATATAGATAAGAAAGTGATCTTGGGGGAAGAATGTGAATCAAAACAATCAATCTGTGGCAAGGTGAACCGATTAATGCGACATACCGATCGTTCATAGGCGTGTACATGGCCAGCAAACACGACGTCGACTTTGTATTTGACAAACCACGGCTCGTACATAACTCTCATGGTTTCTCCTTCCATGTAGTGGTAGTTGTAGCTGTTGTACCATGGAGAATGCATCAGCACAATCAGCCATGGCGTCTCAGATCTGTTCACCTTCGGCAGCTCCTCTTCGAGCTACGTGTATTGAGGAGTGTATTTACCTTTCAAAAAAGAGCAAAAAAGAATAACAAACAAGTAGTCGCACGCCATTTTGACCAGTTTTGCGATTGCATTTTGTTTATTTACCGACCGTATGCTGAATAAGAAGCCAGAACTATGATATGTGCCGAAGCTCTCTTGATGAGTACCAAAATGGTTCGGTGCTCTTCGATGCTTTGTAAGGGACGTGATAATGGTGCTTATAAGGCTTGAATGGTTTTGTTTCGCCCTGCAAAGATTTAACAGCTGTAAGCCAAGTTGATTCCATATAACATATGTTACCATCGATTTCAGCACAAAAATATATTCATACAACACACCTAAAAGTATGAACCGACAACACATTCTTTAATTTCATCTCCTAAATTATCAGCTAATTACTCATCCTCTAATCCAACAGCTAGCATAAACATAATTCTTTTCCAGAAATGGAATTTGAGAAGCTCAATCAGTTGTGATTAAATGAAAATATGGATTGATTCTATGATATGATCCCCCTAATGAAAGAAACTACATAGTTAAAGGAAATGAAGAACACTTACAATTTTAGGATCGAAATCGATCTCATGATTTCCATCAGTCCAAATCCAGGGTTGGAAAGCCACACTTCTCTCCACAAACCTCCCTCACGAATCCCACCTCCTATTGTCATGGAAATCATACCTATCGGCATAAGAAAGATCGCCAACAAACAACAGAGTCTGCCCCTTCTTCGGATTCTGCTCATAATGTGTAAGTGTCTTGTTTGAGTTGTAACTCTGCCCCCAAATCCCCTGTCAAAAAGCTGACAAAACTTCAATTCAATCATTTTGAAGCACTGGGAAGTTCCAAGTTTAGGCTATGATATTTAAAGCTCTCCAAGACCATAATACAGCATATTATGTATCTTGCCTATCCAACAAGTATGTATACAAGTAGATATATATGTATGTATGTATGTATATATATATGTATGTATGTATATACCTGTAAGACCAAAAGTATATGGAGCATCAGGTCCAACAGGTGGAGGTTTAGTAAACCAGAAAGTTCTTGTTGTGTGCTCAATACCGATCTCGTAATAGTATTTGGTATCATACTGCCCAAAATTTAGAGTACATTCAATGTTAGATTCACCACTTTTTGATGCACATTATCAATTTTCTCTAATTTTCTTAATCAGGACAAATCAATAACAAATTATACTAAAGAATTAGTGTGAATTCAATGCTGGATACACAACTTTTTTATTTTCTATTTTACTTATCTTTCAACTTATAGAGAAATAAAATGAAATTGAAAATAAGAATGTTTCAGTGTATGTTTATTTGTTAATTTGTTTTTTACTATTTAGTTTTTATAGTTTTCTTTAAAAATATATTATTATAATCTCATAAATATTATATTCAAATAATTATTCAAATTTAAAATTTAAAAAAAATCACCGACTAAATACAAAATTATTTTTTGACGAATTTTCAATGAAACTCTTTCTTATTTGATTTATCATTTTCTCATGAATTATTCATCCTCTAATTTTCCATTTGGTACACACTATATTAATTTATCCATCTTGTTGTAATTTTTCTTATATATTTTTAAGTGAATTTTCTATTTTACTAAATAAAAAAAAAAAATCAACTCTAATTTTCTATTGATTTTTTATTTTTCAAATTTATTTCTTTACCATTATTTTTCTACAATCTTATTATTTATACAAAACATATTTTCTATTTTTACACACGCATATAACACATTTAGACATGAAAAACTTAAATAATTATTTTAATAAAAAAGCTCAAATTCAAAATAAAATTTTAATAAAAAATGAAAGCTAAATTAAAATTAAAATTAAAATTCTAAAAAACAAATGCAAGCTAAATGATGAATAAAGCGATCAAGTGAGGTCACACATCAGGGAAGTCAATGGTAAAAGATAGATAACTTTAGTAGGGGATGGCATGTCCGTGCCCACCTATAAATTATTCAGACCACTCACAATCGGCATTAAATAATAATAATAATAATAATAATAATAGTCCGTAAAATATCATCTGATAGTGTATAAGTAGACTCGTGACATTGAATTCGGATTTTTGGATACCCAAGAGATACTTATTATTTTTTAATAATATATTTCGTATTATAAAAAAATATATATTTTGTCCAGCAAAGGATGGTCTTGTGGTGGTGTGCAGAGTAAACTTGTAATTGTGAGGTAATGGGTTTAAACCCGACGCCTCTAGGTGTGACTTGACTTTTCCGCGTTCCCACGGATATCATTGACATTTTATTTTAACACATGCGTGCACACACATGCCAAATTTATTGGGATTGTCCAGGATTGAACCCATACTTACTTCTTTTAAGGGCGTCAATCCAAGTCTGACAATTCAAATACGATACATGTCAACGATTTTATTTCAAGTCATTCGATAACTCGAACAAATCTGAAAAACCTGATACGAAATAGTCCCGAAAAACTGAAAATTTTAAACTTGTTTATAAAACCCGATGCGAAAACTTAATTTTGTTTGTTTATAATTAGTATGTTATTCATTTTTTATAAGTTTAACTTTTTTATACTCCCTCCTTCCCAGAATATAGTCTTAATTAGATTGGACACGAGATTTAAGAAATATTGATATTATATTGGTAGTTGGTAGAAAGTATAGATAAAAACTTTTTTGCCCTTGTAAGTGTATTAGTGTAAAAAGTAGTGACAATTGTGTAATAAAAATGAAAAAGTAGAAGTAGTTTTACAGTGATATGGTTATTTATAGAAATAAGACTATTGTTTTGGAATAGACAAATATGATAAACAAGACTATTGTATTGGGACGGACGGAGTATTATTTTATTTCTAACATATTAATTTGGAGCAAAAACCAAAAGTAGTCCCATTAAAATCTTCTTTTTTTTTTTTTTTTTTTTTCATTTTTAGTCTCATTCAAAAATATTTATCAAAACTAATTCCGTTAAAAAACTTATTCATCAATTTTGCTCTTGGGTAGGTGATTCGGATCCAACACTAGCGTATTCTGGAGAACACGTCCGTGTTTTTATTTCCAGACCTACTACCCAGCTGTGAAAGAGGAAGAGCCGACGAATTTCGATCGGAACTTTTGTTACACAACCTGATTCTTCTGTTCTTCGACCAATCCGCGTCTTATTTAATTTTTGCTTGATTGAGATTGGATTCGGACAATTTCAACATATCAGATTTGCCCATTGCCGTCGGCTATTTCATCCCCACCTTTGATCAAGATAGCCATATGCTAACCCTCTCTTTGTCCCCCTTCCGTTACTCTCCACCACCTCCTCCTCCAGACGCATCGGCGGCAGCCTGTCCTCCCGTCGCGCGGGGAAGATCAGCGGGGAGTGCCGGCAGTGATAGAACTAGCATCGAAATCCCGACGGAAAAATGTTATAATTTATTTAATATTTAACTAACAAATTTAAATAAAAAGTAATGACATAATTATATATGAATTTAGATAGTTTTGAAGGGGCAAATTGTATATAAATACATAAAAATTAATATTTTTAATACTAAAAAAATTATAAAAAAATTGGCTTGGGGTGAGCTCAAGGACGACGAGGAGAGGAACTTGAATATCAGCCCGCAATGAACCATCAGACCATGATCCACAACCTGAGTTATTTGGTTTCAAAGGAGATAACCGTCATCCGCGGTACCGTCCAGTTCCGGTGATGCGAGCAGCAGTTGGAGATAGAGTTAGAAGTTTGGGGACGTGGCGGCGTATTTCCGGCAGCACCAAGCTGAGGCAACTCAAGTATTTCAGCAAGCACACCAAAAACCACCACACATTATCCGGAGGTCGGCTCCTTAAGAAGCAGAAAAATCGGATTGTTGATAATGTCAGTCGAAAATGAAATGACTCTCTACCGGAGTCGAAAACGAGATGACTCTCCACCGGAGGCGAAAACAAGATGACTCTCCGCCGGAGTCGAAAACGAGATGACTCTCTACTGGAGTAAAAATCGACATGACTCCAAATTATGAGACAAAAACGAGATGATTCGTTTCTCTGACCTTTTCAGCTGGGTATCTACATGGCGATAGTATGTTAGGTGCATCAAGCGCGGGCTTGCATGGCAAGTTCAGCACCGGAGGACTATCTTAGCGAAAAAATTTTATTTGCAAGACTATTTTCAGATATGTTCCATTTAAAGTCATAAAATAGGTCACATACGGAACTAAAAAAATATTTTACCGGCAGAAAAATCAGTGAAAAATTAGTTATTATTTCTTAAATTAAGAACAATAAAAATATGAGGGGATAAAATTATTTATTATTAATAGATTGTGTATACATTTAGCAGACAAAAAATAAAATAAAATAGTGGTACGAGTTTAGTATACTGAGGAAGTATTGCTTATGAAGTGGGGATCTCTATTGCAAATATATTTTGAAGAATGTTCGAAATTTTTGTATGTAAACATTAACCACCGTGTGTCGTCTTGATCTATGTATTTTTTAAAAAATGTTTCCTTATATAATTAATTCTCATATCTCTAAATAGAAATTAACTCTTTTTTTTTCCCATAATTAACAAATATATGAATTATTTACGAAATACATATATATATATATTTGCAGCATTAGAATATATTGAATCCACCTTTTTTTTTTTTTAATCTAGAAACCTGTCCAAATAATTACTACAGAAATTGTAATGATTTTTTATTGCAATATAAAAATAATGTATGTTGCCTTAAAATAATGTTCACATGATCATAAATTGATGCAACGTTTTTAATACATGAAATGTTCATAATGACTCAAAAGTTTGACTTTTTTATTTTTTTTAATACAAAATCTATCAATTAATCAAATATATGAACAAAATTATTTATGAAAAATAATATTCAAATCCTTGTACTGATATTTTTATGTATTTATTTTAGAATGTTCCTTAAACAAATATTTTTCATATATATATATATACATATATATATATTTTAACAAATCCAATAATTTTCCAAATTCAACAATATATACCTGTTTACTAAATATATATATATGATATGCTATTTACCGTGTCAGAATATGATATTGAAACAATATTTTTATTAAGGTA